ATTCCTTTTTCAGAAATCAAAATTTTTTTCAAATCAGCATTAATTAATATAAATCTTTTGTTAAATGCACTTGGTATTGTTTGGCTTGTATCTACCCATTGAGGTTTAAGACTGCGATTGATCAGTCTGTTATTGGCATATGTGCATACTGTGCGTATGCCTCGATATTACCTTAATTCACAAGCTTTTTGTCAGCAATGATAGATAGGGACTCGAATCCAGTACCAATCGCTTCAAACGCCATCCCGTTATCCACTCAGCTACTGAGTCCAGAGTGAACATTAACTGTGAGATGCAGGTACGTCCAGCTGACGAGTCCCAAATAGGACGAAACGCGCGTCCTGGATTCCACTGCTAGCCACTATCCATCACTGCTTACTTTTTTAAATGTCTGTTGTATCTTAAGATTTATATAATTATCGAACGTGAAAATCGAAGCAACTAAGTAATTACATGAATTCATGCAAACAGTAACATGCTATCATTTGACGGGATAATTTTTCCCCGATTACATATAGAGTTTGTTTATGTTTGAGTGCTTCTTAGAGTTAAATACACTCTGACTGAAGAGTTCGTTTCCTACGATGAATGATTATAGAGAAAACGATGAGTGAATCATAAAAATAAATTGTCGGTTTCATTTCATACATTGTACTTAGGATGGATGAATTTATTTTAGACACTTGTCTGCTCAGATAGATGTTAAGTTGAGAGATGGAGAAGGCCAACACCACAACTCCAATTAATTAAAATAAGACTCAACATTTATAGGTATGAAAGATACAAACAAGCATATTGATACATACACATGATCAAGATCACACATATAAATTATAAAATGACTGGAAACATTAAAACAATTCATCAGTTTAAAAGTAATGATAAACCATATAGACATGTAACAAGATTACTTGTTACATGTTATAGGCTAATAGCAACTGGAAAATTATTAACATAACAACAGTCTTTAACAGTCATTTTATTCCATTGTGCCCCCAACAATCCCACATGGAATCAAACTAGAGATCTTCAAATGTCACGATGAGCATCAATACTTTAGACCACTGATTCAATTAGTCTCTAGTTTAGATGTATAACTTTGGTCAGTGGTTTAAAATATAGCACAAAAAATCTGAACATAAAGCTGTTCTTTAAGGAAATTATGAAATATAGGATGTCACGTGTGAGTTTATCTATCTGTTTTCCAATGTTCAGTAAAATTGCAAATTAAAACATTTCCGAGCATTCTTGCTTTCGCTTAGTGTGCAAATGACGTATATAAGAGCATACATTGCATTGGAGATTTCATTTCAATCCTTTAAAGCGATTCAACTATTTACGTTACTGTAGAGCTCCCAAACTTGCCAAAAGAAAAGTAGATAAAATGAAAGTCAAAGCTTGAAATGCCCAATGAAAACTATACTCTTATATGCATCACTTACACTCGAAACAAAGGGAAAGATACCTGAAATTACTTCATACCTCACACATATTGAATACCAATAAACGGATATATTTAACCTCTTCCATATATCATTTTCTATAAAATTTAAAATAGACTTCATTTAAAAAGAAGAATATATTTGTAAAATCTCAGCGAATGAATTTTAAGTAAATTCAACGTTTCGCCTGGCAATCTGGTCCAAGCTTTTTCAAGGAAAATTCATTCGCTGAGATTTTACAAATATATTCTTCTTTTTTAATGTCTCAAATTAACTCGGCGCCCAAATATTGTGAAACTATTCGTTCAAATTTAGACGAAAGTTCTTATTTAGACTTCATTTAGTTGTCAATAGAATATTTCTCATTTGTTTATGTGATTTGTGAAAATAATAAAAACAAACGCATAAAGCTTATAGATCTAATTGAATTGGTTGTATTTCACCGTTTGTTGTTGAAACTTACAATTCAAATAATCTGTTTTGATAAGTGTAGCAATATTGGGCTAGAAAATACATTCACTTGACGTATCCCATTTAGATTACACTATGAATCAAATGTAACAAACACAGAAAATGTAATTACTCATTTCTAAAAAATATTTACCTACAGTTGAATAAATAAGTTTCCATCATAATTATGCTACTTGCAGAATCAAAATCCAGTCAGTTTATATAGAACAGCCTCAAACAAGTTCTAGGTATTTGTTTTCTTAGACACTGTGAAGCATAATGTGAAATATAGTATTCATTCTTATAATAGGTCCACTTTACAGTCTACATAAGAAAAAAATGACCGAGTGCTTAAACCGTAATTAGTTATATTGAAGTCACCAATCACTCTAAGTTAGACAACCGTTAAAAAACTAGAAGCCCTAGACAGCCGTTTATTTCTAGCATGGGACTCTTTAAAAGTGAGCATCCACGGCCCCGCAACTGGGAGTCGAGCCCAGAACCTTCGACCTCACGGCCAAAAGATTAACCTCTAGAACACTATGCCGTGGTCATGTGCTCACTAGTTACTAGTTTCAAGAGACAGTTTTTGAGTTCTAAGAAAGACCATGACCAGTGAATTTAGCTGCATGATAAATGTACTCACTGAAGATGATGGAGGATTTTCTCACTGTGTCATGGGTTGTTAAAAGCTAAACTAGTACACCAATAGATACTAATCCAGTGGTATTGATATTAAGTTTCTAAGTGTGACACTGAAAGCACTAAATTATGTTCCTGATTGCGGGATTGTGCATGCCTACTGCGATGTAGTCCTAAATTAGAGAGAGACAGCCATCTAGAACTTTCATGTTTGCAACGGTTGTCTAAGTTTGTTTCATGATTTCAAAAAACTCAACAATATGCACAAACCCAGATCTTATAATTAACATAAAGACATTTATCTAGTTAATTAAACTCATGATTATTCCTAATTTAAGAGAATCTTTATATATATATATATATATATATATATATATATATATATATATATATATATATAATGGGTGCTCACTGCTGAGGAGTCCCACAATAGGACGAAACGGCCATCCAGCGCTTTCAAGTTTTCAATGGTGGTCTAGCTTCAACTTACTCACAATCTCAACTATTGAAATAAATGAATTATAAAATACTTTGAAGTTTATTTTCATAACTTATGATGTCAGAACGTTTTCTTATCTGTCAGTATTATTCAATGAATATCACTAACATCTGAAAAGATGTGCTATAGTCAAAAGCCGCCAATCAGAAGCAGCGAATTATCGATCGGACCAAGGACGAGTAAAACACGTACGAGCAGCCTAGAGTCCTGATTGGTCCTGCTTTCCACCTAGCCCAGCCAGTTAAGTCCAGAACACCAGTCTCAGCCTCTGCAATATGAATCCTTATATTTCAAACATACTGAGTTTATATACCAATCAAACAGACCAAAACGTAGCATAAAATAGAAAATAACATTTGTACAAAATTTGGCCAAATGTGGCTGTGAATGTGGGAGGCAGTGACTAAATGACAGGCCATAATTCAAGAATGGTAAAACGTATAATAATGTTTCATAGGTCAAAATAAAGTTTATAATAAGAGGAATACGAACACGAATAGTTTAGTTACTTAACAATTATACGATAAAAATATACGTTTAGTATTGGTCCATAAAAGGATCCGAAAGTTACCATTCATTATGTTTATCGGGACCTAACATGATGTAATGTAACATACGGATATTTTTACCAATTAGAACCATATGAGAGAAAAAAGTTATATTTTTTAAATGACAAAAGTGAAACATTAAATTGTTTGGTCAAGTTAACTATCACATTGGTAAGATGAAATTTTATTTATCAGGTGCAAAACTATGTATTCATTTTTGAACTACACTGTTTAATCTAAAGCCGGTGATTCCTTACAGATTTTAATACTCGAAATAGGCTTAAACCTCCAATCTATTAATTGAAAGCTGAGTTCTCTAGTAACTACAACATTACTTTGTCTACCAAACACATAATCGACTCTTGGTAATACACTTCGTAAATTGATGTATTTAGCTTCAAATCACATTTCGATTATGTGAGTCAATGATACTACCCGATTTCTAAAATCTAAGTAGATAGAGCGGGGCTAGGATCTAAGACAGTGTTTGAAAATCAAAAACACTAACCACTGAACCTCCTCTTTTTTATCAAGAAATATGAATAAATGTGGAAATATGTTTGGATACAAATTAATCTGAAAAAAATGGTAATGACAGAGGTGACTCGATTTATAACCCTGATTAGTTACCACAAAATGAAAACACTGATTAGTTGACTAATTACTTATCGTTTTTATTTGTACAGCCAGCTAAGATAATATGACGTCTGGTGGGTAATTAATCCTCCATAAAGTTTTCGATCATACACTAAAAAACGAAGAACTAATTCTCATACCATCAAAGATATTTACAATACATTGAAACAGATTTGTAACTGGTAGAGTCTAACTAAATAAGATATGAAACAGTTACTCACTAACGGATTTGTATAGTGTCATGATATATTCTGTATCGAATAAACTGGATTCATGAATCTATGAATTATGATTAAATAGTTTAAAGTTAACACGTTCGCTCGGAGACCTGGTCATGTTCCTTGTAATATTTAGTTACTAATGAGTAGTCTTTTACGAATGTGGTATGTGCTACTGGTGTCGACAGATATAAGTAGTATGTATCACTAATCGAAAGTGAAATGCTTGGCGGCAGAAGGTTAAGAAGATTAAAGAGAAGAAAACGAGAACAGAGAATTGTTGGTGTGGAAACGAAAGAACAATCAAGTCTGAGACGATTTACTGACATTTTGCAAATGAAGTATTTACTGCATGGTTCTCAGACTTCACTGAGAGAGCCTGTAATTTCGTATTCAAATACAATCGACTGTCCCCCATGGCATTCTCATTCACTACACTACAACAATAAAGCTATCAGGTATCTATTAATTTCTAATCATTGTATTCAGTGAAAAGTAACCTCAACTAATTTTCATACTTTTCCCAACCAAAGGTATTGCTCAAAATAAATCAAACAGGACTTACTTTAAATCGAAATTGTCTCGGTCCATTATCATAATCCAATGAATGACCTACAGTAATACGTCCTGTGATAGAATCTATTTTAAAATAATTCTGTGCTAAATTACGATCACATGGACAAAATCCATAAACTAGCTTTGAATGTAATCCTTCATCTTGATCAGAAGCATTTAATTGTAATACAAAACTACCGATAGGTAATGTTTCACGTAAATTGCCATTCAATGGTCTATAGATTACGTAATTTGATTCGAGATTATTATTATTTGAACTTAAATGGTTATTTACTTCATATTGATTAACTGGATTATGAAATTGGGGTATATGATCATTGACATCGATTAAAGTGATTAAAAGTGGTATACTTGTACTTTTCGGTGGATTACCTAAATCACTTGCTAACAAAGTTAAATTGTAAACACCTCCTTGTCCAGCAAAATCCTTTGTTTCTCTATCTAGAGGGAGTATAGGCCAAATCTGTAATGATGTTTCATGTGTACCGGTCATAGGGTTTATATGATTATTATTATTATTGATATTATATAAATCCATGCTTAGATCACTTTTTCGGTGAATCAGTAAATCAGCATTTGATTGACTATGATATTGGTCATTATTATCATTATTTGTTTTTCTGTTAAAATTATCTGCTAATCGAAAATAATCTGCACCTGGACCAATTAATCGATAAACAATTGTACCGTTCTGACCCATATCTGGATCATAAGCACGATCAATTGATTTTGCATTTCTAATTGCATCATTCTCATTGATAGGTCGTAGAATTGTCTGAACAGTATTCCATCCATTGTTATTTGATGATGAGGGTGTTTCGACAAAGCTTACATGTAGAAGACTGTTTTCATGCCATCTAGGTGCATTATCATTAATATCATGTATTATTACATGTATTAATATCCTTGTCGTTTTAACCGGTGTTTCAGCATGTTTTTCACCAGCTCCAGTAGTTAAATGTGGTGATTCTTGATTAGTTCGTGTAACAATTAATACATTTAAAGCTTGTAAACATTCATTTGGTGGAGAATTCAACAAATCATTTGCATTCATTAAATTTGAATTTCTTTGTGTTGCAACAATGTCATTAATGTTACTATTAATTCCAATAGAACCACTAGTTCCAGCATTATTATCCCATGATGAACATAAAGCTTCTCGATCAATGCGTCCATTAACAATTAATCGACCAGTATTTGAATCTAAACTAAATAAATTTGAAAATGTACCATCATTAATTAATTGAAATGTTGTTGTTTGTATTAAACCTTTCATTTGTTCACGAGATATTAATTGTTGTAAATATTCAGCAATTCCAGGTATTATACTTCCAGTTGGACATTCTTCAATAATGTCTACACGTAATGGAATATCATGAATACTTTGTACAATTAAAATGAAAATATTATACAATAATATAATGACTAGAATTGTTCCCTTATTCATAATGTGTTGTTGTTGTTTTTTCTTTTTCGTATATGTTAATATTTAAATTTAAATCAGCTTTCTTTTCTTTTTTATTCAGAAAAATAATTTATTATAACAATGGTATATATACATTTTATAAAATATAAACTTTTCCTATTACTTTGAACCGTCTTAATTTTGAAATAGTATAAACACCGCCTTAAATGACCTACAATTTGATTGGTTGTTCATATTTCAAACATGAATCATTGGTTCTTCATTCTGATTGGTTGAATTCTAATGGTTTTTAATGTTCATCTATATGATTGGATCAGTGTTATTTCTTTTAATTCTTAATCGACTGGTGAATATGGAAAGAAAAAAAAAGTGTGTAACATTATGAATATGCTATGCGAAAGTGTAAAACTTTAGTAACTAACACACTAACAGATTATGGTTCAGAGTAAGAGAGAGAGGGAGAGAGAGAGAGATAGGAATAAAATACTTTAGTTAAAAGCATATACATGAATTTATAATAAATCAAACGAAAGAAGAAAACTTGACAAAAACATTGTTTCTTTTTTTATACATAAGATAAGTCAAATATGACTTTAGAATATAATAAACTACAAATAAAGAAATAATAATAACGTGAAATCTTTCACATTTTATGCTTGAAATGCTTCCCTTGAAGTAATAAATGACAGTCACAATTAACACAGTTTGAATGTATTTCATTAATTTTAATGATTTGATGATATAATAAAGACTAGTTAACTTGGATAACAATCAATTAAATGGTAAAAGACAAAGAAAATTAATGTTCTTTACAATTTTCATTAGGCAGATAGTTTCACTCCCAGTTCATTTTTAAAAGTGTATCATTATGGCTGATTTCAAGAGATTATGATTTATCTACTTCAGTTGATCAATAAATCTTAATTGTGATATAAAGAATATACAATAAAATAAAGGATTTGAGATTAAAGAATCTTATATCTTACAGTAAGAACTAAGTTTGGATAGCAATACAATGCAGAAAGCAGGGAGACCATATCTCGTGTGAGGCATTAACCCACTATTGGTTTCGGAAGATGACTGTAGAATATCACGAATAGTCTGGAGTTAGATATGTAGGCCATTAGATCCAATCTCACACTGGTCTAAGGGTTGAGAGTTCAGTTTGAGACCTAAAGATCCTGGGTTCAAATACTGATGAAGTAATGGATTGGGATTACTGAGGAGTTTAATACTAAGAAACATAACGTTTTCAATGCTTTCTCGTTTCTAGTACTGATCTAAACTATGAAATGAGTAAGATGTGGTCGAATTTATAGTCTTGACCACTAGGCCCCTAGGATATGCAGTGGGCTACATCTTTACTCTCTTATTTTCAGTAAGCTTCCTATTTATATCATATGTACTGCTTTATCCACTTAAGGAACATATACGTTCTGAAACAAAGCTAACTAGCTTTTTTAATGTTTTCAGATGGAGTAAACAGAGTTCACTATGCTCTTTGGAGTCAGAAAACGGACTGAATAATTTAATTGCCATATCAATGTATCTTTAAAAGGATAAACGATTTAGTGAGAATCTGTTATCTGTGGAGTCTTACAGTGTCAAGTGTAAGGCAATTACTGGTCACTTACATCGGATGATGATTGAGTGGTATTGTTAGCAAGCGGAAGTCAAACATGTAAATGATTGGATGCTGGTTCACTGATTCAAACGTTTAGCGTTCGCGAAAATCTCTTCAAACCCCTCATAGAAACAAACTCTTGTATATTAATTAATCTGGCTTATAAAGTCAAGTAACCAAATAATAAAAAAATAATCGTCTAGATTTGTAGTGTTTTTTATTCTTGGTCTATCATTCAATAAAACGTTTTCATGATTTGTTATGATCAAAAGCACGTTTTAGTTTGTTAAAATGATGAACAGAATACTGATCGATAAATAATCCATAGTGATACGATATGGCCATCTGACAACTCTGCATGTTACTACATTATTGGAACAAACCTTTAAACGACTATACAACTCGCCAACGCAATAAATTTTCTTCTAGACATGCTGACATGATCTAGTTATTAATAACACTGATTGAACAACAATGTTGATTAGTTTTGGACACAATTAAACATACAGAACTCATAAAATATTGTGGGAGGAATGTTAAATTGAATCATTCATTGAACAAGACATTTCATTTCATAGGAATTCAATTATTTGGAAACCTAATACCTGAAGATTTACAAGTATTCTCTGAACAATTAGGACAGAGATTGTGCAAGTATACTGTTAAAAACAATGCATTTTGAAAACTGGATGTTGATGCACTACAAATCTAAACAAAACAAATCTTTCTGAAGCACAATTTATATATTTATTGGACAAACGTTCAAAATATACGGTTAAAGGTTAATTAAATCATGAATCATAAGGTTCTTCTATACACCCATAAAATTGAAACCTGACAAAAAGATTTATTTTTTGATCATCATATATACAGTAGCCTCAACATTTATAGTTAGCTCTCAATTATGCAAACAAATAAACTACAGTTATTCACTGTTCATTATTCATAACATTTAGAAAATAAAAGGAAAACTAGTTTTTTTAACTAGAACAGTTTAAATTTGTAATCCGATTACTCTATAACTTAGTTTAACTTACTAATGTCATTGCTCCTTCCAATTTCAAAAAGATGGTAAACATTCTAATTTGTACTGATGTATAATATGATTTCATAAATCAATTTAATAAGTAATTTAATTTATTGTAAATATACTAATATTATCAGAAGGGGTTTGTGGAGATTTTAGAAACTTCACAGATTGAAATCATGAGTCAATTGAAGCTAGACCATCATTGAAAACCTGGAAGCACTGGACGGCCGTTTCGTCCTAGTGTGAAACTCCTCAGTAGTTCCTATCCACGATCCCGCACCTCTCGGGGTTCGAACCCCCGCGACTGACTTCAAGAGATACTCCTGGAGTTCTAGTGAGAAGCCGTTACCAGTGGAGTTCAACCAGGTCTGTTGCGAGATATCATCTCACTGAAGACAATGGTGTACGTTGGCGCAACTTCGTGGATTGGTTGAAGTTAGACATTAACACCACTGGGTGCCGGCTCAGTGGTCTGGTGGTTAAGTGCTCGAGCGCGAAACCAGTAGGTCCTGGGTTCGGATTCCGCGGGGTGCAGGATCGTGGATAGGAACTACTGAGGAGTTTCATACTAGGACGAAACGGCCGTCCAGTGCTTCTAGGTTTTCAATGATGGTCTAGCTTCAATTGACTCACGGTTTTAATCTGATTATAATGAATCACAGTGATTCTTTGCATAATTCTTTTGGGGAAAATAATTTGAGTAATATATAATAATAGTTGAGATCATGAGTTGATTGAAGATAGCCCATCATGGAAAACCTGCAAGCGAATACTTGACCTCTAGATCACTGGGCCGGCATTCAATGGTGTTAATGTCTATGTATATAGACATAGTATGTATTCAGTAATTCTAACATTTCCTACATCATTGATGGTAGTGGAATTTGTAAACATGATGAATTTTCAGTGTATTTCCTTTCAGGAAAAATGTTTATTTATTGTCCAATTAAAAGGAGGCTATTATTCATTCTATTAATATTAGTCATCAACAAGGACTGTTTTTTTTTAAACAAAACAGGGTGAAAAAAATCTTTTTTTGACGATATTACATTTTTTCGCTCAAATCATTTAACTACAAACTTCATGTATCATCATAAGAAACATCATTAGCAATAACCCAATATTCAATTATTTTTAATAACACCTGAAAGAAAACAAACGGTTATGAATAAAATAGCATACCTGTTTTATTAGCTAGTGATTACCTAAACTCAACAGCTCCTTGGGTAACGTGTTGGTCTTACGAAACGAGCGGTACTCAATTCGAACACTAAAACTAGGATTATTAGATCAAAAATAGAATAAAATACACTCTATTATTAGACACTATTTACCTTTACTAACAGTGATAATGTTGAAAAATGAGCTTATATAACTTAATTCTAGTAATCAGTCTACATTTTTGAAGCTAAATTCTGCACCACGATTTTTAAATGACAGATTAGAGATTTATATTTTATTGATAAGTTTGAGTTCACTCAACTAAGTGAATGTATTGTAGTTTTAATACTTGATTTCAGAGAATGACTAAAGACTTAAGATTTGGAACTTTAGACATTTTATAGTTGATCGATCACCAGGTAGTGACAAATGTCATTTGTGTCAGGTCCTTCTTAACTGAGATCAGATTCTGTAGACCAAGTTGCAATATAGCCACTAGTCTAGGTGACAGGACATCCCGTGCACTATGTTGAGAAGTAATGCAAAGGTTGGAGGCGGTCAACAGTGTTTCTTGTCCGCTATCTCAAACCACCACAGTATATTTAAACAGTTAAATTTCTCTGAGACGATTCAGAATGTTCTCACAGTCAATCTACACATTTACTACTGATCGATCACTAAGTAGTGAACGATGTCATTGAAATCAAGTCTTTCTTCGTACTGATGAAATGCTTTAGATCAAGTTGCAATGTGACCACTTGTCTAAATGGTCAGATATCGCGCGCACATTTTTTGAGATCTAAGGTGGTATTACTCGGTTATCCGTCAATTGCAAATACATCTCAGCCATCTATGAGGTCACTCGTGGCTTGAACAACCCGATGATTATGTTGATGATTGTGAAACTGCTTGATATGAGATCGAATCACAAAGACAGCATCAGTGTCCTCAAGATCTCAGATATATGTTGCTGCTGAGTCCCGAATAGCAAACAAACAAACAGTATTTAAATGACACTTACCCCTATACAAATTATTTTTACTCATTTTCTGGTTATTTTTAAATCATAATAATTATTTAATTCAATGTCAACTGAGATATTGAAGAAAAATATTTATTTCATCAGTCGTGCTAATACCCACGTATTATATAATTTTATTCATTCAAACTAATTACATAATTATTGTCATAATAAGTGCTGATTTCATTAGTAAAGTTTGCTCGAAAAAAAAACAAAGGAACACGTTTTTTGGCCTGAGATCTGATTCCAGTTAGATCGTATGATTGATTGTTGAAACATACATCCTGATTATTGTCGTATAAAATCATCGACTTAGATAGCGTTAGTGAATAACGGAATTAAATAAGTGA